AGTGCATACCACTCTTTTGCAAATAATATAATGAGAATTGGAAAGCAAAGAGTCATGAATTTAGATCCCTGCTGCATGCACCTAAAACAGGTTAAGTGACACTAGAAAAGGACGTTGCTCAAAAAGCTCTGGGAGGAGCATGGAAAGGGGCACTGCAGAAGCCAGTGACGTGATTTGTTTTCCCCCAAGGATGGTGAGAGCCTTACTCTCAGCACCTTGGAAGAAGCAGGTGGGATGTATGGGCAGGAGGGATCCTTTGGCTGGAGGAGAGAGTTGGTGTCACAGGAAAAGCATGAGAGGGTGGAGAGCTTCAGTCTGGAACAAGCAATATTCTGGAGAGGTTAGAGAACAGATGAATCAAAATCGAAAACAAATTAGACCATCTGGGAGAAGGACTTCACAAAGCAGCTAGTCAGAAGCACAAAGGCACGTGTGGGAGCCAAGACCAAAGACATCCACAGACTCCTGAACTCTGCAGTAGGACTGTGATGTTTCTCAAAAAGGACAGAAGCGACCTTGAGGCACCTCAGTCCAAAACTGCCACACAGACTGCTCAGTGACTGCCTAACCTTGGAGGCAGATAGACTTACTCAGGCCCTTCCTGTTTTTACCTGTAATTTCATGATTCTGCTAATTCTGCTGAGCGTGCCCAGACCTCCCATGGTCTGTGCAGCTTTGCACGTACTTCTTGGCCAAGCTCCACTCACTCAGAGGGGCAGTGGCAGCAAAATCACAGTAGCTTTACCCCAGGTGGTTTGAGTAACAGCAGAGCAAGAGCAGTGTGTGCACTTCCATACAGGCTGCACAAGCCAGAGGGAGAGCCCGTGCACGAACCAGCAGGGTGGACAGCAGGGAATATTAAAAGGTCCTGGGTTTCACTGTGCCTGGGAGGGCAGACAAGGAGGCTGTTATAAATGTGGAAGCTAACTTTTTGTTGAAATCTGGACTTGAAAAAGTGTCTGTCTACTCTGAACAACCCCTTGCCTTCTCAGATCCCTTCCTCAACAGGCGGAGGGCCAATGGCTTCATACAAGCTGATTCAACCCTAGAAGGCTTCTCTCGTGAGAGGTATGTTATGGCCTCAGGACACTGAGGATGGGAGTGGGGAGATGTCTCTCCTTGCCAGGCACTGGCTGGTACCAGGGGAGGAAGCCATGGTGACTTCTGGGAAGCCTCAGTCCCTCTCTTAGTGTGAGGTGCCCCTGAAGTCCCCAACACTGGGAGAAACCAGAATTTAGATAGCAGAGAGTGAGTCCTTGCATTTGAGGGCCTGTCATATGCTGGCACGGCTCTGTTTAGTTTGTCTGAAGGAAACACCAACAGAAGGAGAGAGAATCAGTGTGGGATGGCCAGAAAGGAAGCTCAGTTTGAGATCTTGTTCTAGTCCTCAGCTCTCATGCATAATTTGTATGACCTTTTCTAAATCACACGGCCATCTGGGTGCCTCCTTGCCTCATCTATAAAAAGGACATATAGGCAGTTTCATGCTTCATGCAGGGCCTGTGATAATAAAGGCTGAAGCACAGAAATCATCTCCTGGCGAGGCGTCAAGGCAAACCTTCTCCACAGTACCAGGTGGCCCCTTTGCGGGATGTTTCAGGTCTTTGTTCCATGTGTGGCTTTGGGGAAGAGCAGAAGAGCTGAAGGCAGCAATGTGGGGGGGCTGTGGAGGGAGGACTCTTCCTATCTCCCCATCACCCTACATAGACCTGAAATAAAAGGTTACCTCGTAGAGGCAAAATGCTCTTGTAGTCATGTTGGTCCCCTGGGTGTGGTGAACACTGAAGCTGGTATGTTAGCATTGTGGTAGCTGGATGATGGAATCAGGTGACGAACCTTTAGTCCTGGTGGGGGATTGTGGGGCGGGAAAGGGCTGTAGACAGATATTTAAGATGACAGCACTTACCACTCCTCTCTCCTACTTTTGCAGGATCAGGGAGCGTCATAAGGGGCCCCAGGAACGTCAGAGGGAGATCTGCGAGGACTACTACCCCTGTGAAATCTATGCTTATCACCATGGCTACCCTGCTGCTTACAAGCACTATTTTATGAGGAGGAGGACTAAGTAAAGGATGACCTGTCCCCAGCCTGGGGCCTGGTGCCCAGGGCATCCTCCCAGAAAAATTCAATAGCTCTGAAACATATTCAGTTGCTTGTGTCCCTGTATGTTATCCTGCCTTGCTGCTTCTCTCCCATGTAGCCATGGATTCCTACACTGTGTTAATTAGCGCTGAGCTGATGTAGCGGAGATCAGCGAGAGTTCAGGATGTGGGTGTTTACTACACAATAAATGGCTGGTTTGATACTATCTGCTCATGAGTCACAGTATTTTGGGGGAGATGGTGGTGGTGTGCAGATTTCCATGAAGAGTCTGAGTTTGTTTATCATATAATCTGGTGCAGATTACAGAAAAAAAAGTTACTACCTTGCAGTCATATGAATTTGAAAGGTATTACAATGTCTGTAAATTGCTTCTTTTAGAAGCCACTGGTAAATTTCAGTTCCCAGTCCTGACGTAGTGTTCAGAAAGCAGGGCGAGATGTGCTTTTTGAAAATGAAATCTAAAATATCTTTCCTCAGGTGGGGAAAAAAAATATTGGAAGGCACTTGTTTAATCTTAAAAAAAGTTAGGGCAAGAGTTAGTGACAGAAAAAGCCTGTAAATTGCATTTTTTCTATCCAGCTACCCTCAGGTCCCGATGTAGGGTGCGCCTGTAGAAAGGACTGTATGATCTGGACTCTACTCATATTTCCTTTTGGAATCTCCTTTCATGCATTTACTTCCACTTGGAGTGATTCTGGTAGTGCTAGAAAGATGCAGAAACAAAATATGAAAAGGGACTCCAGGTGGTAAATAAAAAAAATAAAAGAAATCCAGTATTTGGGGTTAAGCCCAACTTTGTTCACCTAGAACAATTTCATTTTACTGTTCATAACTCATTCAAAATCAAGATGTGGTTGCTGAGCACCTCTTGGCCTGTTGAAGAGTGAGAGTGACTGCTGTGGGGTTGTCACCAGCACTGGCACTAGGGCACCTTGCAGAGACTGTCCCCAGGCCAAGAAGCACTGGTGCTCACACGCCCAACAATTCAATACTGCTCCAGGCCAGTCTGCAGCCACAGCAGCTCAAAGATCCCTTGGTGTGGGGTGTGTAGGAGACATAACATCCTCTATCTCAGTTCAGCACAGCTGGTTTCAATATTCATATCTCCAGGCTTCCACAGGCACCTGCAAATTATAGAAGTGGGAAAAATTCATGGCACGCTATCAAAGGCTATGAGGTATGAAGTATCAAACTCTTGACTATCCTGTGAAATTAAGTCTAGAGCCAAATCTACCTGCTACATTAGGAAAACTCATCTTCTTGCAAGATATGCTTCAAGGATTTGCCAGCTTTGAAGATGAACTTCGGCAAAGAAATGTGTTTTATTTATTGAAAACACTTCTGACAGGAAACTCCACCCTGACAGCTGCTGAGGTTTTATCCAAAGGGAAAAATGAGAGATAAAAAAAAAAGCCAAACGGATTAGACGTATTTGCACCCACACTTGTTTTGCATGTTCTCAAGTAGGTGAATCTTATGATCACAAACCAGGGCAAAACTTTCATATCCTAAAGTCAACAAGTCTGCAGTGTCTGGGTTTGACTTGACACTGTGACATGACCAAAATGGAAGGCACAGGGTTAGTGCTGTCTGAGTCCGTGTCCAGAAATATCTGGTGATTCCAACCTCCAGTTTACCAGTATAAATAATGAATAATGCCAAAGATTTCTGTGGGATTTTGTTAGTGTAAGCAATAAACAAACATGTTTAAGAGCCTACATGTTGGTTAGAAAGCTTGGGAAAAGTTGGGAAGAGAAGTAAAGCTGTTTGGATTATTTGAATTATATATTTATATTCTTTCACACTTTCTTTTGGAAGCATAAATTTCCTAGAATACCTATTATTTTTAGATATTTATTTGTTTTTAAACTGTTGCTCCTTGAGATACTTTTGCTGGAGGTTGTTAGTATATATATTCAGTCTTTCCTGGTCTGTAGAAGAGTTAAACTTTCCTTTTTTTTTTTTTTTTAATCTTGACATTTCTATAGGCTAAAAGGCAATATTTCTAGGGGTTGGCACAATCCTTAATGGCTCTGACTGCCCTTGGGAGCCTTTTAGGCTTTAATTCTGTAACCCTTGGATGTCTCCCCACATGTGGGGCTGAGGAGGACTGGATGTGAGGTGCAGGAAAATGTGAACCATGTGCTGTGTTTGGGACATGGCTTTGGGAACTTGTCTGGTGGGTTTGGGGAGTACAGGGTTATTGGCAGATAGACTGTAGAAGAGCCCATGTGGGGGCTCTTAACATACCAAGCAACCACAGCCACTCAAGTCCTGAAGGAGAAAGCACTTTTGGAGTTTCAAGGGTTTTAGACAAGAGAAGCCAAACTAGTAGCCTCCATACTAGGAAGATTTCTGGGGAGAAAAAAGAAAGACCACCCCGAAACCAGCTACCAAAGATCTGAACAGTATAAAAAACTCAGCTCCCCAAAGTGTTTTAGTAAAACTGTCTGAACTGAAAATCTACTGTGTGCTTGCCCTATGCAAACTGTTTACTGGGTTTCGTTACCTTCAGGGGAATGGGTCACAGTGGGGTGGGGGAAAAGTGTCACCATTGGGTTCAGCCTCATTTAATTTTCCACAAGAGAGAGTCTCTTCACACAAAAAGAGCTGCTCTGCTTCAGGGTGTGCTGGTCTTTTCCCTGACTTTCTGGCAAGAAGCTGAATGATTTTCATGTCTATAATAAAACTGATTTTTTTGTCCAGTTGTTTTTCTTCAACAGTCCCATTCAAAACCTCAGAAAAAAAATCTTCTGGAAATGCCACAAGTCCTGAGATGGATGTCAAAATGGTTGCCAGGACCTGATATCTTCTGGCCTAAAGGACGGGCTTTATTTTGGAGCTCAAACATGGGAACACAAGCCAGAGCTCTGGTCTCTCCAGGCCATCGCAGGATATAAACTGCTGCCTGAAAGCAAGCTCTGGAGAACTTCAGTAGCCTCTAGGAAAGCTCTGAGGTTAGAGAGATTAGCACAGCCAAAGAAGACATGAGGAGTCTGCTGGCACTGCTGATCGTGACTCTGGCCCTGGCAGCTCTCTGCTGCTGTGAGAAAGGTAAGGAGACATCTTCCTGGGAAGGCTCCTGGGAATGCTGCTCAGCCCCGCAGTCTCCCTCAGTCTGGGAGAGAGGCACAGCTTTGGGGGGAGGAGATGCACTGCCAGCCATTGCACAACTTCAGATCTCTGTCCGAGAGAGAGAATCGTGAATGAGAGAGGGCTTGGAGATAGAGAGCCTCATCTCTTGCATTTAGTATTTAGGCGAACTGGCAAAGGTATGCTGGATGCTCACTCTTGAGCACGAGGTTTGAGCAGCAGGCAGAGTTGTGTCAACCACAGGGAGAGGGATTTTGTACCTGGCAGCCCTGGCATGCTGTAGGATCACAGAGATAGGCACCAAGTCAAGCCTACACCTGCTGAGAAATGTGGGATATGGAGAACTTCTGGAGGGAAAACAATTCCTATCTGTGGTTAAAAAAACAAAGGGAGTTGTGCCATTGAAATAAAGGCACATCCCATTTGGAGGTGATTTAGCCATGGTGACTTTATGAACAAGAGACAGTAATGTAGTGTCAGCTCTATAGTTGGTAGAGAGGGAAGCAGAGAAAGATCAGAAAAACAAGTGTTTACCCCTTACAGCAGGAAGAGAGAAACTGAGCAGGAGAGGGCCCTGTCTTTTCTTGTATTATCCCATTCAGAGTTAAATTTCATTTAGTCCTTGGCATCATATATGTCATGATTCAATACTGGTAAATATATTTTGTTTGATCTTTCAGTCTCTCTCTCACTTTTTCACTCTTGAGTAGATACCTGCTTTTTTTTGTTTTTAAGTCATTATTATTATTCCGGATTGCTTAATGGCTTTGGAGCAACATCTAACTTATACCTTTTTTAAATCCAAGGGATGTATATGTAGTTTAAAAATAGAACTGGAGATAACCCTTTTCACAAAGAGTTTTTGTTTAAGCACAGTTGTTTTAGGGGTTATTTTTTTTTTGCTCTCTGGAGTCCTCTTTCTGCCCATAAATACACTTATGCCAAATACCTGATGACTTGGGTGGAACTGACATTGTTGAAGAAAAATATGGTGAAATAGTGGAAGAAAAGAATTGGGAAATAGGGCAGTGTGCGAGAGCTAAGATTAGGAGACCTACCATTTCTCTTACAGGGTGTTTTCCTTGGGTGTTTGCAGGGAGCATTAGGGATTAAGGATTAAGATTAGGACTGAACACAGAAATATAGTGCGTAAATTCCTTTTGGGAGGGCTGGTGGGCCAGGTTCCCCAACCCTGAGCCACAAAGCTGTGAGGGTAGAGTTGCTTCTAATTTTTAGTCCTATTTTCCTTCCCTATCAACAGTTTGTGATTTCTCCCTAGAGTAAAGGAAAACTTTCTTTCCAAAGGTAGAGGAGATGCTCAGATATCTTCAGATTCTTTCCTAGTTTGGGGTTTTGCTCAAATGGTCCTCTAGCTCTAGCTGTCCCTGTTCTTAGCAAGGGTGGGGAGGGAGAAAAAGGAAGGTCTTCCTCCAGCTTCCACAGTGGATAGTTGATTATTGTGTCATTTAATCTGGCTCAGAGAAAGTTGAAATTAAACAAATCCAGGCATAAGGGGTAAATTTTGCTGTGGTGAAGAAGTCTATCCCTAAATGGTGGGTGTTAATAAAACCCTTTTTTTGGGGGAACAGACCTTCTGGGAAAGCCGGGGAGAGGGATTCAGTTAGGGTGGAACAGAGGAGGAAGACTCACAAACAAACTGCTGTCTGTCTGTCTTCCAGATCCCAAAGACCCCTCAGGATCTCCTGGTGCTGACAGTGAGTATATCATTATGTCTGATGCTCAGCTCCATTCTGCTGCATCTACTTCCCAGCTCCCCTCTGATAGGTCCAAGGGATGAACAAAAACCATGCTGAGTCCCTCTTGCTGCTCCCTCAGCACTGCAGTCCCTGAGGCACAGGAGCACCTGCAGCAAACAGAGGGGCTGCCTTTCACAGCCGTGGGAGCAGAAGACACCAGGGAGGTCACAGGCTCTCTGCACCAGCCTGCAGGTCCACAACTGTTGAGCAGCCCCTAGGCAGGGGTTGTCAGCAGCTGAATGTGTCTGCTTTCTGTGAAACAGGGTGATGTGAGTGGAGCAACACAGCCATTCTCCCAGCTTCTCTGAGCTGGCATCAGAGACCTATCCAAAGTGACTACTGCGTCCGTCCCCAGGCCGTTAAGAGAGCAGAACCTGCCCTAGGGCCTCCAGGCTCTGGTCTTTTGATCTGCTGAGCAGCCAGTCTGGTGTGCAGAACCACAAAGCAGAAAGTTTTGGTGCCACACAGCAACGAGCTGTGATGTCCCTGCCAAATCCCACAACCTGGAGAGCTTGAAAGCAAGCACCTTCCTTGGCTGCTCCTGAGGGCTGCAGTCCCTCCTCTGTCAGGTCACCTGGGACACAGGGATTTGCACACCTTGGGATTTCCACAGCTTTTGCAGCAAGCTGATCCTGGCAGAAATTTGTCTGGAAAATCCCCCTCGTTTTTCCCTGTCTCTCCTTTCTCACACCTTGAAGAATAACATTGCTACTGGGGAGCATGAAAGCTGGTATTTCTCCAGTGAGCCAATGCAAATAGATTGGGAAAGAGAGGAAAGGAAAAAAACAAAAGCGGAGTGTTCAGGGCAAGGTGGTGATTTCTGACAGCTCATTAATTGGCAGTTTCTGAGCAGTTGGTATTTTGATCCAGACTAAATCCCAACTTGCTAGAGAGGGGGCATCTCTCACCTGCCAAATAGAAACACGGTCAAACACCCCATGATGATGAGGAAAGGGCACAAAGGCCGCTCTCTCCCCACAGACAGAGGTCTTAGAAGCTGTGTTCCCCCAGTGACAGTGACAGTTTGCCAGTTTTGCTGCTGAAACATGTATTGGTGTGCTCCAATACCTGTGCTGCTGCTGTGCCAGCATCCGTGCACGCTGCTGCTGGTGCTTCCATGGAGCGAGGCTGTGCTGTGCTGAGCACTGCCTGGGAGTGGGCAGCAAAGAGGCTCTACCCGATGGTTTTGGGGTGCTCCACAGCACCCCAGTTTGCACAACCACAAAACTGAAGGAACAAAGCAACAGCATTGATACAGAGTGTTAGTAGAGTCAGTGGCTGCTGCTGTCACGGCAGAAAGACCCCTCATGTTCTCTAGGTGCCTGAACACCAGGATCATTGCACCTACTGGTTGTGTTTCTCCCTGGATACTGTTGACTCTCATTATTTTATACCTTTCATCTTTCACAGAACTCTGCACACACGAGTGTTGGTATTTCCGTGTGCTTCCTGTTGCTTGTGGCTCATTACAGGCATTTTTAAAGCCTGGTGGCTGGAATCCCACATCACTCACTCTGAGTCAAAATACAGAAAGGAAGCTGAGCCTCTGAAGTTAAGCGGGCTAGGGAGAGAGGGTGTCCTTCCCTTCATTTTCTCCTTATTCATATTTTATGCTGTCCTGACTGCCTTCTGCACACTTGCTGTGGACTCTGATCATGCTGTGTGATAAAGAAACTGAGTTGATGGCAGAAAAGGCCCTTGCTCCATGCTGATGTGCAGGTTGGAGTGAGGAGGGAGCCCAGCTGGTGGGCTTTGAGCGGACAGCAGGGTGGGGAGAGATGAATGGGAAATTAGGATGGTTCGTGATAGTCATCTGCTTGTGAAGAGAGTAGACTGTCCATTTTCAGAGTTTAGACTGGTCTCTGCTTTTCATAGATTGGTCATCTGCATCTCTAACCTGCTGTGTTCTCTCTTGGTAGGCATCAAGATTACAAAGGAAGTCGCCAACGCCTTTGTGAAGAGGCAGAAGAGGTCCACCCTATATGAACGGTAACAATTCAGGAGTCAGGCTGTGAGCTGGACCCTGGACCTGTTCTGAATAGTGGGTGGGATGGCAACAGGACATGACAAGGCATTAATTTGGTGTACATCTATATTATAACCTTCATGTGTTGAACTAAAAAGGCTGTAGGAGACACTTACTGATAAATTAATGGTTATTTTTTCATAAATATCCTTTTGAGATCTCATAGATGGACTCTGTTTAGCCATTGGACAGCAGGATACAAGTTAGAAGCTGCTCTAGCCTGCAGGGTCATCAACATTTTTTCCCAGGATAATGAGCATCACAGAGCCTTGGTCATTGCCTCTGTCTCCCTACAAAGGAAGCACATCTCTGTTGCAGGGATGAGGCTAGATCAGAATAGCTGTTATTTCTAAAGCTGTAGATCCTACACAGTTTCATGCAGAAATCCTAGGCACAAAGATTTGGAGAAATTTTAGATATAAACATTTGGAGAAATATGAGGTCATGCAAGAATGTTCTTGACAAATTTCCTGGAAGAAGTTGTTAAGGCACTGTCTCATGTAGGCCTGTGCAAAAAGAATTTTTATTCAATCCATCTTTGGACTGGAAGGACAATGTTGGCTTTAGACAACAGAAGACTGAGAGGCCCCATCTGCAGAGGAGAGGATCAGAGTATTGTAGCAGAGGAACTGGCTGATGTTGAAACCTGCAGTGATTAAAAACAAGATGAAAATCAGTAGCAGCAACTGTATTATCCGTACTGACTACCTCCTTACAGGTGGGGCATCATTAAAGTAGCATCATCTATAAACATTAATTGGGGAGGACTGAGGTAGACAGACACCCTTGTGTATTATTTGATCATGAGGTAAAGTCAGTCTGGAAATATGGATGCAACAAATGGAATTCAAGGGTGCTGCAGGGTATTTCTAATACAGAAATAAAGTAACAATTCATGAGATACTGGTGGGACTCCTGCAGAGGTGTGTATACTCTTCAGGAAAAATTAACCAAACCTAGAAAAGGAGTTGAGAAGGGCAACCAGACTGTGTAGCTGAGACCAGAAAATTTGGGGTTGCTTAGCCTGGCAAAACAAAAGCTGAGTGGGGATAGTATTGCTGTCAACAAAAGAAGTGAGGATGATGAGAAGAAACTGCTTAAGTTAGAGGAAAATAGTGGCTAGCAGGAAAGTGAGCAGAAACTGGGTGCACATAAAGGTAAGCAGGAAATAATAAAATAAAGATATAATAAAATAAATAACAAAAACAACAACAACAACAACAGATTCCTCGGTAGTTGGGAAATAGGATTGGGGAAAAAAACCCCAAACCCTAGCTGCTTCTGTGGTCTCCTTTGCTGATAAAACCTCAAAAGCAACTGCTTTAAGTTGGGTTCAGTTCCAACTTTTCCCAGCACTAATCAAGCAGTCCACACCCGTGCCAGTAGATGTTTAATTCTCCATGAGAAGTCCCTTGTTGGGGCACCCTGGGGAAGGGCTTTTCTCATGCCAGTGTCTGGTGTAAAACCTCTCCAGCCGCATCAACTGAATCTGCAGAATGGCATTTCTCTCTTTATCTACTCCAGGTACTTTGAGTATTACAAAAGTCCAATGGAGCAGATGCACGAGCGTTGTGAAAACTACCCACCCTGTGACTATCTCTCTGACCAAATAGGATTTTCCATGGCCTACAACCGTTTCTTTGGGAGATACTAAGGATGGGATGGTGCCTTCGCTCATTTTGCTTGGGACCATTCTGAACCCCATAGGAGACAGAAGATTGTGAGTGGGAAGGTGGGAAGAAAAACCTCTAGACTGGGGCCTTCTTCAGTAGTCTCCCTAACTATCTAGAACAATAATTATCGCACTTGTTCAGTTTTCATTAGCTTTCTTCCTTTCATCAATAATGTATCTCTTCAGTTGTCTTCTGTGGTATTTTGAGCTTCACCAGAACTGATTGACAAGACTTCCTCTTATTTGAATCTCCATGGTGCAGTAGGTGAAAAAACTGAGTCCTCTCAAGAAAATCCATGTATGCCTTAGAAACATAACAAAACCTTTTGTCCTCTTCTACAAAATGCAGGATTGTAGGACAATGTCACAACATATGTAAATGTAATGGAGTTGATCCTGATCTCACTGGGAGGAAGGGGGAACAGCTGCTTCCTGATACAATGACTGGGAAAGTTCAGTATTTTCATGTGGAATAATCACCCTAAACATGTGCCAACATAGGATCATTTTGTAAGGTTAGAAGTGTGGAAATACTACCATTTAGCCAGAAATCCAGTTCCAGTACACTTTTCTGATTATTCTGTCACAAAATTTGCCTGTATATCAATAACAGATAAATCCCTAAGGGTGTGTTTGAGGAGTCCTATTAGATGAGCCCTTCTGTTTCTATGGTGCATGCAGTCATTGTCTGTAAAAGGTAACTTTTGTTACGGTTGGTTTCTGGTGAAACTGAATATACCCAAGCAGAACAAAAAAATAATCTGTTTCTCTGTAATGCTTTAGCATTTATGCTTGAAACTAAAAGTGTCTAAACAGCTTCAAAAAAACTCCAAACAAACAAAAAGAAAGCAATAAACTTTATGAAATAAACAAAAAGAAAATTGGTTCAAGGGTGGATTGAAGTTGGGTCAGTGTTTGGTTTGTTGGAGGCAGCTTGCGTCTCTCTGATATACATATGTGTCTATTTATATACATATCCTCTTTCTTCTGGGCTACTTCATTCTGTCTCCCTGTATGAATATTATACCTTAGCAACTTTCTGCCCAACCTCCCTTGATGTGCTCTGTCAGCTTTCCTTCCCTGAGAGGTAGATGGCAGATCCCATTTCCAAGGTCAGGGACTGCTGAGCCTCAGGAGACTGAGGAAAAACTGAATCTCTCCGCTGTGCGTAAGCTGGTGCAGCCAACCGCAGGTACTGATTGCAATAAATACTGCTTATATAAAGCAGGTTTGTGTGCTGCTTCTCTCTGTTCCTCTATACGGCCTTTATCTGCAGTTAAAGAGATGCCTGGAAAGTGAAGCCTGCTCCTATGAACCCTGAGGAGCAGGAATCAGGTGCATGCGGTTTCTATCTCCCCTCCTGTATCTCAGTGTGAATCAGAACTGACTACACTGAAATTCAGGGCATGATCCTAGCACATGGTGACATTGAGGGAGAGGAAGGCCAGGTTTTTCCTGATTCACCATCTGCTGAGTTCAGCATTTCTCTGAAAGACCTTGCCCTGAAGTAAGGACGTGGGATAAGTCCATGGAGATGGATACCAGTGTGAGCGTGAGCATCTCTTGTTTGGCAAACTGCTATGAGCATATGCATATATGAGCATATGCACCGGCTATACTGACCTTGGCCAAGGAGAAGACAGTTAGTAAGTACCTTTGCTTGTCTTGGTCAAACACCTGGGACTCATTCCCCTATTGGCATAAACTGATGAGGTTTCCCTGCTCACAGCGAAACTCATCCTCTGAACGCCATCTAGTAAAAATGAACAAACTGCTCCTTGAAAGCAGTGAAAATTTTGCTGGGAAAAATACTAGAGAGATTAGTGAAATCCTAATATCTGCTGTACTAACAAGGTAGGGGGTTTTCTGTTGTATGGTTTTATTTGGTAAAAAAGAAAATCAAGCTTCCTGTCTGTATTTGCATATTTCTGTTAGTAAATATTCTTTTCTGAGAGCTTGCACACAAATGCCTTGATCATGTACAGGATCATAGAATCATACGGGGTTGGAAGGGACCTCTGGAGATCATATAGTCCAACCCCGCCCCCCCCCGCCAGAGTGGGTCTACCTCTAGCAGGTTGCACAGGAATGTCATCTACCCTGTGTCACCAGATCTTTAGATGAGCTGGAATAATTATGGCCTTTGAAGATCTGAGTGCGCCAATCAGATTACAAATTTACTGCTGGACTGGGGAAGCTCGATTTTCACCTGATCAATGCAGAATTAAGTATCATTCTAGAACCTCTGCTGCCATCTTATGGACATTGTATTTATCGCCATGTGATAATGACAGCTTCAGAAGAGTTTGAAAATGCAAATTCAGTGGGTTTTCTTCCTCATTCACCTCAAACTGCAACAAAGACTAAGAGGTTAGAAGGGAAAAATAGGGACATAATCTACAACTGGATTATATACAGCTGAATTGACATTCCAATGGGGCTGTTTATCCTGATTGTCAAGTTCCTGCTGGAGCCTTCCACTCTTTAGCTCCTTTTTATCTCTACATGAATGGAAGAGGAGATGGCTTTGAATAAATTCACAACCTCTTCTTTGGACTCACTTTTAGCAGTCGAAATACAGCCCTAGATGACAGAGCAATTCCAACAAGGAGGAGTAGATAGACTGCGTGTATTACTTCGCATCACCCTTCATGTCATCATCTCATATCACCAGTGGCTACAGACACTATCAGCAGCATCAGCTGCTGCAGCATTATAGATCACTTTGAAAGGATCCCAGCATAAGACCTTTATGTCATCTCTCACCCTGTTTCAGCAATATTCAGCAAATGCTCTCTGTCCACAGAATCCAAGCAGCTGCACAAACGTCCCTTTTCCCAGGGAATCACACCATAACTGCGAGTGCCCCCCTCTCCCAGCCTATCACTAGCAGGCAATGGAAAATGGACTTCACTTCTCTGTAGTCAGAAGTCATGAAGCCCTGACACCTCCTCTTGGCTCTTTTTCCCTGCAGAAGATTTGCCAGAGGCCATGGGGGCTCTGCAGGTGAGTAACTCATTGCCCTTTGTTGGGAAGAGTGACTGGAAAGCAGCTACTAGAGAGGGGTTAATACAGAATCTGTGTTTACACACTCATTCTGTTTTTAATGTAAACAGTTCAACGAGGTGCCACTCTGCAGTGGTGTATGGGTAGGATTGGCAGCACACTATTAGAAACCATAGGGAGGTAAAGGAGGAGATGGACAGTTACGTTATCTCTGCTTCCAGATGGGATCCTGACGTACCCTGCATTTCTGTGTCGGCTTTATCAGAGCTCTGCACTTTTCAAAAGGGCTTTTTAAGCTCTTGAGTAAGGAGTGCTCTCCACCTCATCCTGCCTCATCGCTCCTCAGGAGGGAACTGCCTTAGACTTCTCCAAGCTGGAGTTTTCTTCCTTCTTTCTTCCAAGAGAACTGTCAAGGCAAAGGACATCTACACCACCTGGAGCTGGTGCAACCAGACTCTTTCTTATGGATTGTGGGCACATTTCTACCAGTAAATTGTCTGTTTGTCTTGATGAATGACTTCTGAATTGCTGCAAGAATCTGGTAATTCTTTAGTTGAAGAATTGTCACCAAAACCTGACTGTAAATTAAAAACTGCAGATTTTTCCAGTTAAGAGAAAAAAAGGGAAAGAAACAGATGTAAACGACCTCTACTTGAACTCAAATGCTCTTTACAGTGCCTTCTTGGGTGGACTCTAGGATGCCCATGCTGCTGGTCAGCCTTCTGTTGCTGATCTCCTTCCAAAGGCTGGTAAGAGGGGATAAACACTATTCTTTATTTGAAATGGTAAAATTGCTCATTCCATTGAAAGAAAATATTTTCATTTGAAACATGTTATTTAAAGAGTTTTGGGTTCATCTTAAACTCCTCTGTTTTCAATTACTCTGTTGCATTTCTTACCTGTTCTAATTTCTTTTAACTACTTGACTGGAAATTTCCTCTTGTTTGGAGCCAGATGGTTTCCCAGGTTGTGTTTGTGAGTGGATCTCCTGTTTCTCTCCTTTTCCAACCTGTCTCAGCTGAGGCTCTGACAAAAGCAGTATGTTGTTGGATGGGACAGTGACAATATTGCTCTATTCCTTGTGACTGTGACTGTCTTTTAGCTTTCTGTTAGAGCAATTATTGTATCATGGAGAGATAAACTGAATCCCTGTACAGTTTATGGGCCAGTATAACTTCAGAGGCTAAGAAAGGTACCGATTTGGTTACATGTCTAGGATGAATAATTGAGATGTAGTGAATATCTACTTGTAGAACTCAACTAATTGTCAACTGACTACAGTACATGACTAGTGTACTAAGAGACCAAAAATCAAAAAGAACAATATCATCACTCACACCATTTCTTAGGTCTTAGTCCGCAAGGTTTTTATTAATTAGAAATTTTAGATGATTAGTGTGCCATTTCACAGTCAAGATATGTTATAGTTTATTTTCCTGTTATAGCATCCAGTTGTAAATACTTACTCATGTGTCTAATGTTTATTTACATAACAAGTCCAGCTGGCCTTATTGAAACAAACTGGATGAATAAAAGTTTTGGCACAGTGCTACTATATTGTCCTTTACTGAACATCATGCACTAGAGCCAAGATATGTCCAAGAGGTATTACAAGACAGGAAGAAGAAATTCACCTCTTAGATGTGTTCAGGCTGAACTGCCCAAAGCACATTGTTTTGGTTATTCTTTCCCTCTTCAAACCCACTTACTAATCTCAAGCAGAATATTGAAATAAATGGACTGTGAGTCTGTCTTGCAGGCTCTATACCCTGCTCTGACAATAATGATGAAACAAGAAGGGGGTAGGGAAAAACCCGGCTTGCATCCATAGAGATACACAAAAAGTTCACACTTTTGATGTTCACCTTCATTTGCTTTTATGTTGCAGGCTGCGTCCCACCTCATGATGGACATGGCTCTGCATTCTTTTGATGACCAGTATCTGGGGTGCAGAGATCAGGTGATGGAAGAACTGGAGCGAGGAGACTATTTCCAAAAGGAGATAGCTGCTAACAAGGACTATTTGAGTCTCTGGAAGAAGGCTCAGGAGGCTTTGTTAAAGAGCCCTGTAGGTCTCCTGAGGGAGATGCATGAGAGCCACGCCATAGCCCTCATGGCTTACACCATGAACTCTTCCCTGCATTCTCAGCTGAACTGGGCCACATCTACAGCAGGAAGCTCTCCAGAGCACTACAGACACAACTTCAGTTTCAAATATTTTCACTTTTACTTAACGACTGGTATCCAGATAATGAAGCAATGGCAGAGCAGCAAGGACAGCACGGGAAAACATAAGTGCTACCGGGTGCACAGGGGTGTAAAAGGCTTATATATCCAGGCCAAAGTAGGCAGCAGGGTGCGATTTGGCCGTTTCACCTCCACCTCCCGCCTCTGGAGTGAAGCCCAGAAGTTTGGGAATGAAACTTTGTTCACAATGACCACTTGCCTGGGAGCAGCTGTGCAAGGCTTTTCTTACTACACATCTGAGAAGGAAGTCCTTGTTCCCCCTTATGAGATATTCCTTGTCAAAAGCTTCTTTCGGACACAGCAGGGTAACCGGCTGCACCTGCACTCTGTGGGGAGCTACAGCAAGTACCACTGCCAGCTCCTCAAAGGTATCATATATAGCCCTTCGTGCAGGGGGGGGCTCAGGACAGACCGGTCTCAAGTAGTCCAAGCAGCTCTCACCAGCTGCACCTACACGGGGCCATACTCAAGGCCTAATCTGTAGCTTGCCCACTGCATTCGCCTACAAGAGCCACACGATCCAGTTTTCAGCTGGTGGTTGTGAAACCTGGGAGCACCCCGCAGCTCTCTAGAGGGTAGTACATCTCATATACAGCAGCTCTCAGGGGTCTTCGCAGCCTCCATTTATCCATCTGCCATTGCAAGGATGTCATAGGACACAAGCATTTGGGTCCCCACCATTCCTGCTGCAAGGGCAGATGAGATTTGCAGGCAGCGTGAATTCAGATATTTATTCTGGTGGCTTGCAAGGCTGCTATGCTTCAGGCCTTGGGACAAAACTGTTGCTGCTTTAGTCGTGTTCTCTCTCCTGTGGCAGAAGGTATGCTTTGGCAAAGCACACACTGTCAGTATTCTGCCTACAGAAATATCTGTTCTGTGCTGGAAGACCTCACTGGGCCTCTTCCACAGCCCTGTCCTTCTGTGAGTCCACCACCACTACAGGACTATTGTTTTGTGTCTCTGAGCAATAGTGTGACAATGCAACCTTTGAGCATAGAATCATCATTCAGGAGTGAGAATTTGTGCCTGTACCTAAGCCAAAGTAGGAGGTAGACAGGAGGAAATGCCTTATTTGGGCAAAGGCTGTGTTAACAAGTGCCAAAGCTTCAGGCAGGCAGAAGAGGTCTAAATGACTGCTCTCATCTTTCTTTCAGCTTCAAGAAGCAAGAACAGTGGTTCCACTGCCATCGCCTCTGCCGTTCTTCCTAGTGTAGCTGGAATTTTATTGTGTTTGGCCCACAATGGCTGATTCTCTGGCTGCATCCAGATATGTACGCTTGAATAGTGTGCAAGAAGAATTCACAGGAAATCAGTATCTGGAGTTCCTGTTGTTACAGAAGTTTCAACAATCCCTTTGCTTTCACCTGCAGCTCTCCAGCAGAGAATGGAACATTCAGCCTAATTCATGAAAACAGACATTGCCTGGACCCATTCAGGCAGGAGGGCAGTTATCTATGGCCTTTCTGAAGAGTAGGGCAGTGACCCCCCTCACTGTAGGTAGCTTTTCCCTTAGGCATTCAGGAAAGACACACATGGACTTTGGACTCTTTATAGATCTTTTAGTACCTTTTAGTGAGAAAGAGCCTATCTGTGGGATGCAAAAGGCATCATGGTGGTAAAGCTCAAACTGAGCTACTGCCCCTGAAATCCTGAGACAAGGTTGTTCAGGAAGCTAAAACAGTTTGAATACAAAACTATTTTACTACTAGATTGTTTTCTATATGTATTTCACGTTACTTTCTTGTTGCTCTTGGCTTACCAGTGATTTCAAATTTAAGTTGTCAGAACTTGTTTTTCACCCCTACATGCTTACAGATACTAAGCCCAGAATTCAAAAAAGAATGAAACGATTAGAAGCAGCTGCTGCAGGTACCTCCTGTATGTGCGTTCAAACATGTTTAAACTCTTTTCTGTGTAAGAATTACAGGAATCAAGATGGATTTCTGATACATCAGCACATTTATGTCTCTTTCTGGTCATCTGTGATCGCTAGGATGCAGGCTTCAACTGTTTTAACAAAGGTCTGGAATCTTTCACAAGGTGGCTTCAGCACCCTGAAAGCCTCCTCTAAGTAGTCAGCTGCTATTTTCTGGCTTTTCTTTATGGATCTGTGTCCTTGAAGGATAGTCTGTAGGAAAACAAAAAGTGAAGTGGGGGAGGGTGGAAAGTGAAGCCTGAGCTGTTGTGAAGTTTCACTCGAGGAGGAGCTGCCTTCTGTGGTACTTGGTGTTTCATATTGTTGTAGTATCTTCAAAATATCGGCATACTCCACAAGAAGTTCTGATACTTGGAGGGATAAGGCAGGTGAACTCAATAACTGATGAACAGCAGACTCTACTGTGTCAGGCAAATTGCCATGTTTCAACATCACTGCAATGAGTGTACCTGTGATGCTTTCTACCACCTCCTTGTAATTCTCATAAACTTCCTTTATGGCTGCGATCTTGTCCTGCAAGGAGGTGGTGGGATCAGCAATGTTATCATACAAACTGTGGCTGATGCTTCCCTGTAGATCTTTGTCTCTTGTTTCCACAGTGGCTTGCATCTCTTTCAAAGCATTGACCACGAGCTGCAGATTCTGTTTAATGCTGAAATGCTCTTTTACCGGCATGATGGGGAGGTTGGTGCCAAGATGCTCCTTGAGGAGTCGGAATATTGTGTTGGTTGAAGAGACATAGATGTACACTAAGTCATGCAAATTCTCGCAGGCCTCAATCAGCCTATCTTTATCACTCTTCAGACCAAGGCGGGCTAACATTGCTGGAGTGGAGTCTGACTAAAAAGCAAAGAGAAGAAATGCAGAAGACACAGGGGAATAAAACTGGATATATTGGCAGCTAGAATGCTACATTTCTGAAAGCAGTATTGCAAGGTATCAACCCACCCACCCACCCCCAAGACATTACAGTTAGAAGAAAACACAGAAGAAAGCTCTTTGTCAGCCTTTGCTGGGGTTTTACCAAGCAGGCCAGCCAAATATGGTGTAAACAGCTGCAAGTATTATTACTCTTATGGCTGCAGGAAGTACCCCTCTGACCGTCAGCATGAAATTCAAAAAGCAATGGAAGTGCTGTAAGTGAATTATTCTTACCTTTTGGTGTTCATTGGTAAATTTATGGGAGTCCTAGCAAACAATCTACTTACATCATCTTTAGAACTATAATCTTTCAGTTTGTATATACTGGTGCATCTACACAGAATTAAACTCATATTCTGGGGATGGGGGGAATAGACACTGCAAAGTCAAATGTGTCAGATGTCTACATTCAACAGACAAAGCAACTGAAGACCGAGTAATGCAATGTTCTGTCAGGCTACAGTTTCCTGTGAAGTGGCCCATATCTCTCAGTTCAGAGTGAGCAGGTGTTGCAAGCATCCCTTGATAGGTGGAAATACAAAACATTTTCCTTGCCTGGGCTCACGTCTTGCTACTGTTCTGACTGCTAAGGAAGTTATGTCCTTCTGCTTGTGCCTGAGAAGTCTCTCAAGGGACTACTGCAGGTACAGTCCTGGGACAACACGCGGCTGAGGGACTTCTGATGTTGGCTTTGCTTGTGCCAGAGCCCTGCAAAGCCAGACTGGTCGCAGCAGACATGTTTCATCAGCTATTGCTGTGGTTAGAGGTGCAGTTAGATGGGTCCAAGCAGTTGCAGTTTCCCAGCCCACTGCATACTTTTCTCTCACTGCTCAGCTCAGCCCTCTGCCTCTTCCTCCTTTCCCTTCCCATGGCAAACGTGATCTGAAATTGTGTGAAATGGCAAAACTGATTGTAGCCTCCACTGCTGTTCAGCCAAAGCTGGCTCTGGGACTCCACACTACTTCTTCCACTCTGATGGCAACAGAGGAGAGGACCTGGGTAATTGCAGCAAGGAAGGGTGACAGACACTCCAGATGAAGTCCTTCCCCCAAACTTAATAGGTCTGAAACAATAGCTATTAATCTCCCCTTAAGGCCTGGAGTAAAGAAGAAGGAAAACTGCTTGCTTATTGTTTAAATGATTTTCTGCCATGTTCCAAATGATAGAAGAGAAGTATTTGCATCCACTGTAAACCTTGAAGACCTGAAATCAGTTTTCAGCCTACAAAATGTGGCATAGAGGCAGTTGCCAGCCTGATTAATTCAATTCAGCCCAATATTGGAAGAGGTATTTCAGGACTACATGGCATTTTCAGTTAATAACAGGACTCACAATGAATTGACCATTGCAGAACGGTAATAGTTAAATCGTTAGTGTTCTCTCTCAGCTTACCTTCTCATGCCTACAGCTCTGAAAACAGGGGGAGTCTGGTACTCTGGCTCTGTGTTGAATACAATAGCTCATTTTTCAGGGGAAAACAAGCTGGTAGTTGCAGAGTACTCATTTTATGATTGATCTTTGACTTTCATTTGAAAGTCAACCATTCTCTACTAGGGAGGCAGCACTGATGACCAGAGCCTAGTGGGCAGCAGGTCCCTCTTTCTAAGGATCAGAGCATGGAAGATTTCTAGCTTGGATGAAGGCAGAAGTACAAGTTTGTCTTGCTGGAACAGACAAAGCCTGTTTTCACTGTGTGTCATATCTATTTTTCTATTTGTGTGGGATTGTTCAACTTTTCATCCATAATTCGCAGTGGTACAAAACCAGTCACGGCAACAATTCATTATTTAAAAGAACAGCTGCAAGCAATAGTGGGTTTTGTTTATACTTATAAACAATAGGAATTTAGAAATCCTAGTACAAAAACTAATCCTGTATCTGTAACATGGACTAAACGTTGTTCATGTTTTATGTTCTGAGAACAGCAAGTAGTACCATCCTCTTTCAGCCATGGCTGTAGGTACCTGTGATGGTACCTTTGTCACAGACAGAGGGATTCGTGCTGTGACTATTCTCTCCAGGAAAAGGTGGCCTTTGGAGGACCTAACAAATGGGAACCAGCATGAAATAAACTGAAATGTGTTAAAATTCAAAGGAATGGGAAAGGAGGAAGAAAATGAAATGAATCTGGGTAAACATCACACAATAGAATTGACAACAAGCAGGCAGGCCACAGGACCCAGCTGAAGCCCAGCCTCTGGATCCCTAACTCATCACATGCTGCTGGAAACCACCAGAGGAACGCAGGGGAAAGAGGATGGAGTCAGTGTCCCGTACACATTCAGCTGATTGCAAGAGCACTGAGACAAAATCAGGTAGGTAGTCTAAATGTTTAATTAGAAAAGCTTCTGGAGAAAATCTCCCTGGAGCTGGAGAAATAGTCAGAAATATGGAAATATATGTGGCCTGCCTAATTCTAGAAAGCAACTGTAAAAACTAGCAAAAGTGTTAAAGTGAAGATTAAGACCTAATTTTAGCATTAAGAAACAAAATCTAGAGTGGTTATTGGAAGCTGAAATAATCATGCTTAAAGAACAGTTGCTAAAAATCTCCTCCACACCTGCCTAGTATGTAAAATGTTTGTTTAGATGTTATTCCTCTTAGAACATTTTGTCTTCTCAGTTTCTACAAATAAGGAAAAACATATGACTTTTCAACAAAACATCACTAGACTGGAAAGGTTCTAATATCACACTGAGTCAGAGGGCAAGCCAGCAACAACCCTGAGGCAGAACTGATATGAATTCTTACCTTGTATTGACATGGCTTTATGATCCCTGAAAATCACACCTTTACTGTATATGTACTTTGCTCCCCCCAGGTTGAAGGAAAAGAAAGATGTGTTAAAGAATTTATTCTCTTGACAGAGCTACAAGGTAAGTAGCTGGAAGAAATGTACGGTACTGTGCAATAACATTGTAGAAAAAATTATCTTCAGACTGGCTTGTATTTCAACACTGAGACAAAAAAGTTGGCCAGGCAACTATTGAAATCATTCTGTTTTTCTACAGTGATCTTGTGGGGGAGGGTGTGTTGAGTAAAATACAGCTGGGTCAGTGTCAGATGATTTGCAGTTGGCAGATAATGCAAGAATTACAAAGGACCAAAATGGCACAAAGGTATCATTTAAGAAGAAAAATCTAGCTGGTCTCCTACACAGAACTATTTGTAGCTATAACTGTGATATAGAGGCACCAACAGCAAGAAGTTTATCTTGGAAAAATGTGGAGCACTGCATAAAAGTGGCCCAGATTTGCAATAAGAGGGCTGAGAATGCTATAAGTACTGACAAAGAAATGAGTCATCCTACTCATTCATAGATTGCCCCTCTTGCAAAGTAAGACACATGAACTTAAGTGAAAACCATGCTAAAGGATTTTTACTTTGCAGCTGGTGATGGGTTAAAATGGAGTGGCACAGAGATGATTGCAGAAGCTTAGTGGTGAGGAGTAACTCTAGGCTCACTGATAACTCAGTCACTTTTGGACTCTGCATATTGACAGGCAGGTGATGAAGAAAAATGTATTAAATGGGCCCTTCTGCTGGCAAAGCGGTGATGGCTCAGAGGAGAATAATGTTCATAAGGATTAGACAGAAGTGTTTAGGGGGGGTTGAAAAAATGAAGAAGTTAAATTTTGTGCTCTGGTCTGTAGAGCAAGAAGGGAGGGACATATTCTACCCGGCCATGACCTAGGAGCTTGGTGAGCACCTGCTGATATTAGCTCCACAAAGGACACCCAGAGCATGGGGAAAGTGGGAATGCACAAGGAGGGCTGTCCCTGCAAACTGGTGTATGGTGCTCCAGGGCAGTCTGCCATCACAGACATCCAGCTGGAGTAGGTGCTCCTGATGGTGCTTACACAGCACACTGACCATCACGGGGTGTGTGTGTCTGTGTCTGTGTCTGCAGCTGTTTAATGTTCACGAGTGAAAGAACACTGGGGAATCAATTACAACATTAGGGATGTGAATAAACAATGAGGGAACAGGGGCTAAATATGAGGGGAAAAAACACCGTGGGAGGTGTGTGTAAGGTGATATAGGTTAGGATGGGTTTATTACAGATAATTTTACTATTCTCTATGATTTCCCAAGTGTGAGTTTATTAGAATAAGAACATAGTGCTTACATAGTAACATTTTCTCTTGAATGCAAGGAGAAATAAGCTACACTGGCACAAAACATCCTTATGGTGATACAGACTGTGCCCACTCCACCAGTCATCATAGTTATTTAAAAATCTCATGCCACTAGCTGAAAAAAATAGGCTGATACAAAAGTGTGTCTAGAACAGGCCTTTCATTTGCACAGCTTATTTGTTTATTTTAGATTTTGCTGATTAGATGAGATTGTTCCAGATTTTAGTGAATTAGTTCAGCTTCTACTATCTTCGGTTTCCATGGTGAAGAATTACTTATGTTCATTTTACCAATCTGCTAATTACATATTTTTTTAGCTATTTTTGTTGCTCTGAGTATGTCCAATGTCTCATAAGGTCCTTTTCCAATAATTTGGCTAGAGAACCAAAACAAGACTTAAGATTTCTGTATTTACAAGCTGTGCCTTAGGATTTGACATGCTGAATATAAAAAGCAGTGAGGCTGAGATAAAGGATATTGCACTGCTCTTTAAGGGATAGGGTTCTGGGTGTTGAACAGACTAAGAGATTTCTTTTCTCTCTTGAAGTAACCTATTTCTGAAGAATGGCTCTGAGTGACCTCCTGTACCCAGATAACCCCAAGAGAAGGCAAGAATTGATCCACCTGCACCAGGAGTTGCTTGACTGCATGTCCACAAATTTCCGTGCAACAAATGAGCTGGCTGGAGTATTGAATGAACACCTGGGCTGTACCATTTCCCACATTCAGATGAGAGAGAGCAGCACCGTCAAGGAAAACTGTGACATTATGATTCAAGCGATGAGTGAGATTCAGCATCAGGTACAGAAGATTGATAGCGACATGAAGGAAAAGCTGGAGCCTGTGCTGTACCAGAAGCTCTATGACATCAAAGAGCCTGAGCTGGAGAAAATTGCAATAGCCCATAAAGTTTTTTCAATTATTCTCGGAGAAGCAACTTCAACAGCTGGGATGGTTGCTATCAAACTGCTTGGCTCCAATCTTATGACTCTGACTGTGAGCAAGCTCGTCAGTCTCCTTGCGCAGATCGGGGCATCTGTTCTTGGGGGAATCAGCATCACCGTTCTCGGGCTTGGCATTGAAATGATCCTCCATGCCATCCTGGGAGCAGTGGAGAGGAATCAGCTTCTGACAGCTGTGAGGAGCTATGAGAAGCACCTGGCTGAGTTTAAAGCAGCTTCAGAAAAGTACCAGCGTGCCATACGTGAAGTGACCTCTTTGGTGAGACAGCAGGTTCAGTGAATGAATGTCAGAGTTCTCTCTTCTACGGTGACAGTGGCTGCAGCAGCTATGTCTGCAGAAACCTTTTTGATTCATTACGGTAAATGAACTACTGATGGCTTTTTTTCTTATTAGTGGCAGCAGAGCAAAAGATGTGACAGATCAAGGAATTGGCACTGAAATATATTAGTAGGGAATGCACTTATAGGTTCTTCTGGGAGGCAAAGCTTCCAATATTTCATACCTTTGCTTCAGCTGTTTTCTGGAGTTCATTATAGATAACCTTGAACTGTCATTCATCCTAGTGACAGTAATATTCACTGCTGGAGCAGTAGTGGTGAGAAGGTGTGATTTTTCTCTCTATGTTTTTCTTGTATCAAAGATGACAACATGATGGGAGAAAACAAATACAACAAGCCAGTCCATGTCATCACCTGGAGGGCTCATCAGGACAGCTCTGGTTGCTAAACTCTTAGTGTGGTTTAGTGCTGCTAAATCTGATAGGCTGAATTCCCTGTTTGTTGAACTGCTTCCAAGGACTAGCTGAAGCATATTTAACTGCTATTTCCTGCCCCATCCCTCCCTAAGGAGCCAGACAGAGATCTTCTTTAAATAAACTCTAATCCCAGTAGATTAGAAGGTAAGAGAAGCATGGGCCTAGAAGCAAACATACACAACCTTGCCCCACAACTGAGAGAAATCAGCTGTAGTGTTCCAGAAATGAATAACCTCTTATGCTCAGAAATGCCCTGCTCCTGCCAACCCACAGGTAAATACTTCTATGCAGAGTCGCTGCTCTGTTGCTTGGCGTGGGATTATACACACGTACAAGTGTCTGTAGGATTACAGCCCGATTAAAGCACTAAATTTATTTTCACGTGCTTTACCTGGTCCCACTGATGTGGGACTGCCAAGAGTGTGCTTAGAGTCTGCATTTCATAATATGCTACCAAATGTCCTTATTTTTCGGTTCTTAAAAACAAAGCTGGAAGCAAGAACATGATTTGAAGTCTCCTGCTCTGATTTGCTGTGGTTTCATTTTTTTTTGCTTTGATCTTTGGAAAAAAAAAAAAAAAAAAAAATTCTTGACAACTGATTCATTAATTATTAATTTATTAATATAGTTTTTGTATAGTGCTTTGGTTTTTGAAAAAAAAAAAAAAAAAAAAAGGTAATTTAAAAAATGATAAAAATGTAGCTGAATATTTTAATTCCTCTCTTTCCTGCACTTGTTTTGGGTTTGTTTTTTTTTTGTTCTGTCTGAAAAAACAATCTTATATCAAATAATGAAAAAAGGTTAAAATCTTCATTATAGCTGCAATTTATAAATTCCTTTTAATATCCATGATAGACTAATCTAGTAGGATTGTGTATAGATCCCTTTTTTAGTACCACCTTCCCTCATACTAAAGGCGTACCCAAATTCATACTTTCAATTAATATTCAATATTAGCAATATACCATGATTATATTAATTACTAGATCGTGCCTGTAAAAGTAAAGAGAAGGTGAGATTACAACAGGGAAGCTCTCCGTTGCCTTCATAACCCTTCCATTCCTGGTTTTGGTGGTTTGGTTTGGTATTTTCCCCTGCTGTTCCCACTTCAGTCGTCTTTTCCGACTCCTCTCTGCTTTTGTGTTGAAAAGCCAGTAGATGGCAATGCAGCTGTTGGCTCTCAAGCAGCTCTGCCAGCCATGGAGGAGAAAGCCCAGGGTTCAGGAGCATGGATGGGTGCCAGGGACTGCCAACCTGGGACCAGGACAAGCCGCAGTCTGGGTGATGTGAGTCAGGAGAGGCAATTCAGAGGAGGCAAAAAGCACTGCCTTGCCTGGCAGGAGGTATTGTGGTGGGTGACACGGTGACCTGAAGCACCTCCCTTCTCCTGACACAAGTGGCACTCAGTTTAGAGGTATGTGAGAAATGGGCTGAGTTTTGCTTCAGCTAATTGATATATTTTTTGTTAGTGTGTCTGTATTGACGGAGGAGGCTCGGTGATAGTGGAGTCTCATCCATTGTGCCCAGCTAATCCTTAGAAATGCCCTGGGGCTGTCCAGGGATCCTGGTTTATGGGAAGTTATCTAGGTGAAGAGAGCCAGGCTGATGGCAGACTGATAAGTGGACAAAGGTCATCTAGAGGGTGACTGATGAAGATGAGGATACGACAACCCAATGAAGTAAATGACCACCAGGGTGCTTGTAACTACTAACACTGGGCAGTAGACGATAGCAAAGACTGTGAAATAACGTGTAGCGTAATCAACTAATCAAAGGTGTGTTTAGGAGAATGATTTTGTAGAGTAGGTGTGTGTGCCTTATAAAGTAAAAAGGTGTAAACTAGATCTGTAATAGGTCAGGCGGTCGGGAAGAATGTGAGCTCCAACTTCTCTGCCGATGAGATGAGAGACAGTAACTCAGGTGGCTGGGGTAAGAAGTATAAAATATCTAAAAGCTAAAAGATTGGTGTGCCTCTGCTTTGAGATGCACCCAATTCAGTGCTGTTTCGTACAATAAATTTTTATACCTTTGCTTTGGCGACTTTGTCCTCTTTAAATTCTAAGTGTGAGCCAGTGTTTCTCACAGGTACTTGTTTAGAGGCAAGAGACAGAACAGCAATATTTGAGTGTTGGAGAGGCAGGAGGTCCTGGCTCCTGTTGACTTTCTATTTGCAAACGTACCTTTTAATTTAGGAAGAAAAAACACCAGCTCTGTATGCATCTTTGCGATACTGCCAATCACTGCTGTATGAGAATAGCGGAGTCAAATAAAACCAAACCTGTTGTACTTTTCAGGCAGTTTGTCCACATTTTCTTGAAAGCAAATTCCAAGCAGCGTCAGGAGAAGCGCAATGAGGAACATAAAGATAGACATTTTCTATTCACCTCTGGACAGATCCTTGTTCCTGGTGGGCTGAAAGGAAAGCTGGCTTGCCCGCAACAGCAGGTGTGGCAGGTGTCCTCATGCTCATGAGATGGTGGAAGATGTTGAAGATGTTGGAGTCTGGCAGGTGGCAGCCTGTCCCTCTGCTTATGAGGTAGGAAGTTGTGAGCTCACAGAGGCTGGGCCAGCATTACCAGTCAGCTAGGAGGGCTGGCCATGACCTTATAAAGAGGTATGGCAACATTCAGCCATAATAGGGTGGTTTTGAGGTAAAAAAACCTGATGATCAGCATGGGATGTTCCTGAACTCTTTCCCCAAACTCTAGCAATAAGAGGATCAATGGGATTTACTTGCATTACTGACAGGTATATATTCAAGTTGAGTGCAGCATGCATTTAACTGGCTAGATGCAGGGGAGAGCACCCAGTGGAGCAGAAACAGCTTAGCTCTGTTTCTGCTTGGGAACTGAAACTCTGTCCCACAAAATCATTGCTGCTCTCTCTAGCCCTCTGACCAGTCTTACACTTGTTCCACCAAAGATGTCATAACCGGTCTGGGGTTAACCAGTCTGATGATACTTCTCTAGACTCGCTGGAGCTGCCTCTTGGTGTGACAGAAACGCCAAGTGAAAAACATGAGAGGACTATTGCCCTCCAGGTCAGCAGATATTGCTGAGAGAAAGCAGTTAGGGCTGCGGCAGTACCACTGTCCCCACTGAGCCCAGTACTGTCGTGACAGGAGACCCCAAGCCCTGTGAGAAGCAGCCAATCTGCAAAGCCTCAGCTGTCCCCCTCTCCAGTGACACAGTACATGATGGGGATGATGTGCGAGGCCATAGCGTTCCCATCACACCCCTTCAAGCATTCTCCCTCTGCTCAGTCGGCTGTTGTGGACAAGGGATTAAGAAATAAAACTGCATAATATGCTTGTTCCAAATGAGAACAGCCCCAAAGAAGAATAGAAACTGTATCAGGCAAAACCAGTCTAAGCTGCTTTCAAACCTGTTTAGAAACACTGGATGGTTGCAACCTGCAACAAATTCTTTCTGGTAACAAGATAAAAGAACAGGCCGAAGAGGCACAAGGTGGGGATGACTCCGCTGTGTACATGGTGAGCAAGACTCCCCAGGCACTGAGAGCTCCCAAAGCCCTGGCTCTGAGGACGCCCAACTTGGATTATGTGCAGTCTGTGGCTAATATTGGTGCTAATACGATGCGCAGCTTATACTCTTGCTCTTACCCACCCTGCAATGATTCTTCATAAAGCTCCAAGTTTGCCAATTGTCTCCATTATTTGAAAAAACTGTAACAACATTGTGTCGCATCCACCCAGAGCTAGGTAGTCTGCAAATTCTGCTCAGAGATCAGACCAACTCTGCTCCCAGTGCACAGAAATATGTCCTATACCTCCCTCCAGCTTGTTAATTCTCTAAGCCTGCACCCACACTTTACTGCTTGCCCTCTCCTTATTCTCACTGATGCAACTGGTATCCAAGGAGATGTTCCGTGTGTCTTTATCCTGGTTCTTTATGTGTCTGGGGACTTTTGCTGGGAGAGGCACTTTGGACAACGAGGCAGAACAGTTGCCACCAAGTGTCCACCAGCCTCTGCAAAGGTGGTCACCAGTTTGCTACAGGGGCTTCTGTGGCAGGGGAGACTGCAGAAGACAAGTAACAGAGTAGATCCTGTGGTCCCCTCTGGAACCAAACGAGCCCTCCCGTTCCCTTTGCATGGCCTGAGCTGCGGGATGACTATCACCCAGCCACTTTTCTCTTGCAGTCCCCTGTAACAGCAGCTGGCACAGGAGCCGAACAGAGGGATGCCAGCCGCACTCGTGGGGGACTCAAACCCAACCAGAACCACAGCTAACATCCGAGTCTAACAGGAACTCCCGCTCCCTCGGCTCTCTGCCTTCACTCCGGAGGCTTCTCACATGTCCCTCAGCCCCACCTCGTTCCAGGACGGGGTGGGGGGGTGTCCCGTTTTGTGAGGCTCTCCACAGGAGAGCGCGGGGGAGCAGCGGCCGCACCGAAGCGCTTCCTTTCGGTCACAGCCGATTTACCAGCACCGCCGGCAGAGCTCCCCCCACCCTGGAGGCGCCCTACTCCCCACACGCCTCCCTAGCTGCGCCTTCCCCCGCTCCCGGGGCCGGCACAGAGCCGCCAGCCCCCATCTCCCCGCTCCCGCTCCGCCGCCTGAGGGGCCGGACCCAACGGCCGCTCCCAACGGCCCGCTCACGTGATCACGGCGCGCGCCGTGCCTAGAACCACGCCCCCTTCCCCCCCCCGCGGCGCCCCCGCCGGCCCCACCATAGAGAGGAGCCGCCGCGTGGGGCAGAAAAGAGCTGCGGAACCATAGAGATGGGGGAGGAGGCGGGCGCGCTAAAGGGCCTCGCTTCCGGAGTGCGGTTCCGCGCGGCACGGCGCGGCAGTCGCGCTTTACGGCGGCGCGCCATTGGGTTCCCGTTGAAGATGGCGGCGGGGCCGTGGCGGCAAGGAGCGAGGGGGTTATAGAGGCCGCTGCGGCGGGAGGGAGCCGGGCCGCCCCGGCCGGGCGGAGGGGTGAGAGGAGCGGGACGGGACGGGACAGGGCTGGGCTGGGCGGGGAAGGAGAAGGGGAAGGGAAGCGAGGAGAAGGCGGCGGTTTGCGCTACCGCCTGCTCTTCCTCCCTCTGTCGGGGGAGGAGGGGAGGCTTTCGTGTGCCTCATGGGAGACCGTCTGCCTCCTTCTCCAGCGGCAGAAAAAATCATAAATTTTGTGGTAGGGTTCCCCCCCCCATCGGCTGTTAACTTGTTGTGTTGAAACTCTTTGCTTTGTGTCCTAAAAGGATTTGGGATCCAGGTCCCAGAAGTTTAATTTTTTTCCCTTTTCCATTACATGTTAGAAATCTGGGAAATGTGGCATCCAAATGTAGCTCTTGCTTCTATTTGGTGAGGTTCGCACCTAAGGAAATGATAGTGTCTTGCAATAAAATCGATATAATCTTATAAGTAGGAAATACGTTACTGGTGGGTCAGAAATCGTGGGGTGCTCTTGCAAACACCAGGCCAACTGTGAGCATAGCCTGGTAGCACGAACCGTGAGCAAAGCTCGATAGGTCTTTGCTAGTCAGTATGTTCAATGTATACTTGTTCTGGGAGTTTGTTAAGAACCCCTTCTGCCAGGCTTCGAAGCACTAAATGAGACACTGTGCTTGAATTTCTG